CTACCTGGGACAAGTGCAGCTTCACAGTTTCACAGTCATCATTTTTAACTATGCGTCCGTTTCTTTTGTTTGTTTGTTTTTTTTCCCAGAAAAGCGACAAGGACTCGTCTAACTTATGTGTCTTTACTAACAAAACCCATCAGATTCTTGACAGGTCTCTAATGAACCAATGAGTGTTTATTTTACATCAGAGCGAGGGTGTCTGGTTCTGCTCTGACATGTGTAACATCCAAATGATCACCTTGTTAAAAATGGAGCCAACACAAACACAACAAACAGAGGGAACGCTTGTCCAAAGCTACTTCGTTAGAGCTCTTTGAGCTCACTTGAGGTGGAGAACACACGAAATGAGCACAAACACACTTCACACTTTGACAGATACTTCCTGTTCTTTTATCCGTGGCTTCAGCGGGAGGTTCTTGTCACTGGACACCAACGGGACTGGGGTCGGGGAAGCGCTGCCACTCCCCTCTCCACAGGTCTCTCCTTTCACTATTAACTGGATGTAATGTAGGGATGAAAGCTGCCCCCTTTTTCTGCTTCTCTACCTCCCCCGGTTTGTTCTCAAATAGGCCATACCAGCTTAGGCAGCAGGGAAAGAGGGCCTCTGTCCTTCTCTGCTGGCCAAAAGCGGGGATCAGTGAGGCCTGCAGCGTGCCCCGCCCAGGAACGAACAAACTCGACACAACATGTGACACTATTCTTACTCATTGGTGACACAAGCGCACAGCTGGAGAGTGGAAAACGGCTCGGTGAGGGGAGGGTTGGAGAGTTCTGTGGGAGTAACTGGAAGAGGCACAGTGATGTTTTTGTGTGACTGAGGATTTGAGGATGTGAACCTGCTGTCAGCTGGACGGTTGGCTGGCTGGGTCCTCAGTCCTCCAGGAGTTCCAGGAATCAGGAAACAATCAAGGGGCCAAAATATCTAAACACTCAAACATTCGCTGCTCGTTCTGTCCCAGTTCATCCCTAAAGCATTCTCATTTCAAAACTCTGCAGAGGTTTAAAAGTTGTCCCACCAAAATTCCAAATCACAGAGGAGCCTGTGGCTTCCTCCGTAGATGGTCGATACAAAGACGGTCAGCAACCAGACGAGGGTCCAACCCCAGACAAAGGCCCTTAACCCATCTCTATACATTACCTCCAATCAGGCCTAACCAATCAATACCAGCAACTATCCCAGAGGAGTCAGGCCTCTGTGACATTTGTGTTTGCTGTCCAAGTGGCACCATCTTTTGTGATTGAAGATTATTTGTGGTTTCCCAGCTGAGCATGCCCAAACCACACAGTGTGTGTACCCACAACCTTTCCACAATGTGTGAAAACAGCAGCTATAGACATTTTGTTGGCTTGATGCCTTTCAGTGGTGCTCTATAGAACCAGGTGGCCTCTGAGAGGAAGGAAGCAGGGCGAGGTCAGCAGCAAAACAGAGCGGGGTGGGTCACCTACATGTGGAAACAGGAGTGCTCCTGTGGCGAGCAGATAAAAGGACGTGCACCCATCCAGAACTGTCCTGGACATGGCCAGGAGCTGCAGCCTGACTCCGGCTAAAGGATGAACGGCGGGGGTGGAGACAGATAACGGCTTTCAAAAAGCTCAGACTTCAGAGTCTGATAGTGGAACGGGATTTTTTTTTCTCCCCCAACGTTAAGGGAACCCCCATCCCAACAATGCTCTACTTGTCCTTTTGTAGCACTTTAGTGCTGCTTTGTGAGTGTTTTACCACAGTTAGGATACACAGGTTGGCCAGAGAGACATCCTGCCCCACCAGTCTCATGGATAACTGGAGCCAGAGTTGCAGCTTCTCGAATACAGAGAGAGAAATATAAATCATAACCTGATAACGACTTATTCACTATAGATATTTTATTCATGATCTCTCACCGAGTTGGGAAACACCCTGCATTTATTTTTCCTCTTCAGCTGAAAGCTCACCAGGACCACTGGACTCGTCACAATAAGAGCACCAAATGAAACAAGAGGTTTCTCTCTGCAGGGCATACTAGACCATTTATTGTGATCTCTAACAAAGCTCATTGTAAATTTTAAAGTATTAACTTTGAAAATGGTTTGCTTTAAATAACCGTTTTCTCATTAGATTACAGGCATCAGTTTACAGCCAATGGCATGATTGAAATGTTTAGTGGTGATTAAAACTGATGGTTAGTTTTATTACATGTATCCCGGTAAAATCACCAGAACACTATAAAAGTGGTCAAACCCAATTAGAATAAGAATCTAGAACCCATCTAAAACCCATGTTGGCACCAACTCAATTATCCACTTGCTTGATTAGTCATGTGGATAGAACATGAACAACATGTTGTTTTTATTTGTCAATTCACTAAAAAAAATTAATTAAAAACAAATTTTTATTATTTTTGCACAAATAAGTCCAAACTTTTTAACCACACATTTAACTTAAAAACAAGATTAGAAGCAAAAACCTTCCAGCAAAACTCGACTTCATACCAAATCAAACATAACACCACCCTGGTATAAAACTAATTCCACTACTGCGTATGGAGTCCACTCCCTGACATGTGCACCGCTTATGGTTTAACAGTGAGCTGCAGGGAGGAGCGTCGGCGTCTGCCCGGACCCCGACGCCAAGCAAAGACCAGAGCCCGCGACACGACAGCAAAACCACAATACAGCAGTTCCATATGAAAGCCCCATCAGAGCCCACACGGATACATGGCGTGTGAACAAAGTAACGGGACTGATGGAGTAGTCAACAAGAGTTGGGAGTGGAGAAAATAAGATCTTGTTTGGGGAAACTTTCAGCTGGTTTAGCAGAGACAAATTAAACCAGATTAACTAAAAATGGACAAATGCATGATCCCAAATCTGCCATGTTATTTCAATTAATAACCATCTTTGGCTTTGATCTTTCACTCATGTCTTCTTGTTTTCCCTTGTTTTTTCCACACTTTTATTTTGAAGTTTTAGGACTTACCAAAGTATTTTTGGTAAAAAAAAATAGTTTCATTGTTTTAGATGAAATGGTGCAAACGCAAAATAATGGATCAATGTTCACGTTCAGTCACACAGTCAGTCTTTCAGCTCTGACTCCCGCTGTGTGTGTGTGTGTGTGTGTGTGTGTGTGTGTGTGTGTGTGTGTGTGTGTGTGTGTGTGTGTGTGTGTGTGTGTGTGTGTGTGTGTGTGTGTGTGTGTGTGTGTGTGTGTGTGTGGTTCCTTTAGGCCAGTTCATGCATGTCCTCACTGTTAAAACGTGCACCTCCTCAAACATGTGAATCAAGTTTTGAGTTGACTTCCACAACAAGTTTCTCCATCTCCACTTCCTGCTACTCTCTTCTTGCTTCCTACAGTTTCAGATTCAAACACAAACATCTCCAACTGTCTCCAGAAAATGACCATGATCAGAACTGATTCCTGCTTTTTATTTCCCCCCCAAGTCTGGAAAATTCCAGTTCTCTCCCTGAAGTCGTCTCCTGTATCTGGTCCTAATGGGACCATTAGGAGACTCAGTACTGAATAAAGTATGATTTCCTTTCTCTGGTCATTCCTCGCTCTCCAGAAAAAGAGTCACTTTTTCCCCCTAACTGCAGGAGGAATTTTTAATGCAACTCCTCCACAATTAAACCCTTTTTAACTGAACTTTTACCAAACATTAATTTCATTGTGTTTTCTTAAACACAAACCATCCTACCACATTTCTGTTTTCTTAAATATTGGCTACTTTTAAAGGTTGTAAACCTTGAGTCAGGACTTCACAAGATCATTGCAAAGGGCAGGGCGGCTGGGGGAAAGTTGGTAACTGCATTCAAACTCTAATAATTAAAACAAAATTCGTGTCACAACAGGAAATGGGAACATTTTTAAAATGATCTGCACCCTTTCTCTCCATTTGGAGAAACACTGCTGAGACATTCCTCCCTTATTCTGCATGTTTAGTGCAATAATCGGACCTATTAAAACTGAAAATCCGCCATTTAAATTTCAAAGTGTTAAAGATCTTAAACTGTTTCACATTATAACTTAAAAAAAGTAGTAACATTTAACTGACAGGAAGCAGTTTAACACCGGCTGTGTGTTCTTTAAAGCTGTAATTTAACCATAATTGTGCTGCAAAATCAGGTCATAAAAGAAAATTGAATCAAACCCTAATAAAATGGAAGAATTGGTGTAAAACTCTGGTTACTGTGTGATTTTAATAATGTGTGGTTGAATTAGAGCCATGATGAGACTCAAGAGCCCCTTTTACTCAGATCTGAAGACACTGTGATGTAAATGAGCTGAATAAATGAGTTTGGGGGCTTCTGAAATCAATTACAGGATTTGTTTTACAAAACTTTTGTCTTGTAAATCCTCTTGTCTTAACGTGACCGGCTTTTGAAAACCCGCAACTCAAAGCAACCCCTCAAATTAAGAAATGCTGTAATATTAGATAAAATTCATAGATCCGATTGAAATCAAAACCATGTTATTGCTCTGTAAGCTCATGCAGAACGGGGGCCTGGATTTAGTATGACTATTTATTCAACTTGATTTAACAAACAACATTGTGCAATAAGACAAATCATTTTTTATGTTTTAAGTTGTTTGCTTTGACCACCTAGACTGGAGGTGCAGTTTTGCGCTGCGTCCAACAGAGATCACTGCGCGTCGCAGAACCAGCATGGCCGGGCGGCACCGAGCATCAGGCCGGAGCGCAAACCAGTTTATGAGTTAAAGCGGCTGATCAGAGAGCAGTAAGTTAACGAACAAACAAACAAACAAATAAATGCATTTGTTCAGCCGGAAACTGGCAGGGAAATCTGTTAAATTGTTTTGGAGTTTTATTTTTTCCTCTGAAACATAATTTTGGGATCCTAAATGTGTAATTTATTAAATTATTAGGCTGGTTCGCACAGCTGTTTAAACAAACAAACAAACAAATAAATAAAGTTCCCCGAGTAGAATGAATTAATTCCCAGTGAGATATTTAAAGTCCTACAGTTTTTGCATGCAGCCATAGAGGTCACCGTCTCCTTACCTGTACCAGTCCAGTCCGTTCTGATAGTTGCGGTCGAAGAAGTGCGGTTCCGCTCCCACGGCTCTGATGTCCGGATGGACCCGCAGGAACTCCAGCAGAGCCCGCGTTCCTCCTTTCTTCACCCCGATGATGATCGCTTGCGGCAGCTTCTTGCTCCCGGAGCCGTTGGAGAAGCAGGACATGGTGCCGGGATCCGGTGCTTTCTTGTCCCACTCGTCCCGGTCAGTGTCCAGCAGGTCTCTGTTCTCTCCGGTTCGGACGGACGCCTCCTCGTAGTCGCTCTCCACATCCTCCCAGGGCTGAGGCTTGGCCAGCAGCCTGGACACCAGGTCCACCCTGCTGCTCTCTGTCCTCCGGCTCACCGCCTGACCCGGACCGGTGTCCTTGCCCCGGTAGGTGTCCGCCACCAGGCTGGGTACGGTGGAGCAGTAACCCACGCAGGAGTACAGCATGCAGACCCAGACTAAAAACATGATGCTGATCAGGATGAGTTTCTTCTTCACGGGGCTGGACCAGGAAGCAAGCAAACTGGGACAAACCGGACTATATTCCATCAGCCTGTCGGGTGGAGATCAAATCCCAGCGGCGCATATTGCCAAACTCACTCCAGACAGCACCTCTGCAATCCCCGCGACATTAAACGCATGCTATAGCCCGCAACAAACAAAAGTCACAAATCAAAACACACATGAGCGAATGTGAGCGGGGCGGGACAGGAGATATCCGGCAATAATGAGGTGTTTTCAGTCATAATTCTGGTTAAAGCTGGAAAGCCGCTGGCGCTGCTTCGGACGCTCCAAGGAGCTTCTCCAGACTCACCACAGGTTTGTCTCAGTCTGGCGCGCGTCGCTGAGCTTATAGAGGGGCGCGCGCCAGACCGACACGGAGAGCAGCCAATAGCGGTATGGGACGTTGGTTTGTTGACAGAAGCTAGCCAATCAGAAGAAACGATGGGCGGAACTGAGCGTGGGATCTTCGGTATGGAAATGAAAAAATGGTGTGTGTGTGTGTCGGGACTCCTCTGCTGAGAGTTGGGAAAACTTTCTGATTCGGTAATTAAACTTGAGGTTTTTGTCTTCCTCCTGCAGGCGTTTTGTTCTGATGAGTTCAGAAGACCTAAATTCTCCCAGGCCAGCTTATTTCGATGAGTTTCAACTTTCTGTTTTACTCTCCGAAAGACAGATAAACCTCAAAATAAATTGCACTAAAAACGCATTGATTTCGTTATTAAGAGTCTGACGTATCTAATTAGATTTTACAGTCTTAATATTTTAATAGCTGTAAAACTAATTATTTAATTCATATAAGTCTTTGGTAATTCATTTTGTCCTCGAGTAAAATGAAGCAACACATTGCATTTTTTATTCTTATTTACATTATTAATTCCATGTTATCATGTTATTATCAGCCTGTCTATATCCTCCGATCAGCAAATCTGCACAAATTATTTAAAGGCAAGTGCTGCATGTTTAAATTCAAAAGTACATTTATTTTCTTCTTCTAGTCATATTTTAAATAAACCACTCAATTTAAAAATTCCTTTTAATGTTTTTTCTGTTTCATGTGTGATTGTAGAATTAGGGAACCGTTTAAAAAAATCCCTACGTGTACTAATAATTTTTGGTATATTTTACCTGTATATTGGCCATATAGCGTTTTATTTTGAAAATCTATCAAAACAGCTGGTAGAAACACATTAGGTCCTCATTTATTTAACGCAAGTAAGTTGTTTTCAAAGAGATTGTTTTAATATTGTTACTAAAATTTGTACAAAGTTTTTAGGATTTTAAAATTATTAAATCCATTTATTCTGGATTGAATTCACACCTGTGGGTAATTTATAGCTCAGCCCAGACTTTGTTTGAGCTTTAAACTAAATGAACAAAGTCAGGAGGTTCAACTGTGATAAAATTAACATATTTAATTTTAAACGACCAATCAGGACAGTTAGATAGTGAAATTTGTTTTGAAGTTGAGTTCTTCAGGGCATTCAATTGAGATAATTGGGTCAAAACAGCTGAAGTGTCTTTTTTAAACGGACTTAAATTCAAAATCATGTTTTTATTTTGTTTCAGATGAACGCATCAATTCATAAAAAGTTTTACTGGAACTGACTAAGAAAAAAAGAAAAAGCATTTTTACCATGAGTTCAGTCACTTTTTGCTCCAACTCTTAGTTTTCATAAGCGTGTGGGTTTTATTTCGAATATTACTTTTACAGAAAATAAAGCCGACCTCAGAATGGAGGCCAGAGGTCATAAGATTTATTTCCCCGTTTGAAACATCCTGCATGGAAACCCGAGCTGATGCCCCGCGTTTCTCTTCTGGACGGAAGTCTGTCGGTGTGGAAATAAAAGTTTGCTTTGCTCAGTCTGTGCAGTTTGCTGCACATTTCACTCTTGGGCTGGTGAAAGCTTCGCCTCGCTCTAAAGCGGTCTGACACGAGGGAACAAACCTTCAGGTTAAAGAGGAATTAACATAATATTCTGACATAAATCTGCAACATAATACACAAAATCAAAGAGATTAGGATTAGGTTGTTTTAACAAACACCTGGCTTTTTCACATTGTTACAAAAATAAAAGGGCCATAATTCTCACAAAATGTCATTTTTTAAGTTGGAAAACCATATTTGTGAGTTTAGTTCTACAGTGATACTTTACAGTCCACACTTCCCCTTAAAACAAACATAAACCAAACACCCAATAAATATGTTATTAAGTGATCGTCTAAAATAGGGGTTTCTAAAGTTTGGGCAGGTCCCGAATTTTTTTTAAAATAATTGATTTAAAAAAATGATTTTAAATATTTTAAAATAATTTAAAAATCATTGTTAATAGCATGTTTTTGCTATAACTGCAACACAATAATTGTCAGGAAATGATCAGAATGGTGTAATAGTTAACAAATTGAGTGAGTAGTGTTTATATATTGTATTGGTTGCTGTGGGCCAGAGGCTGAAGTTTACTGGTAACACCGATTCAAGCAGATTAAAATTTGACGCACTTTCAATAATACTGTTTTTTTGTTTTGTAAATATTTTAATTCATAAGAGTATTTAAAACGTATGTTTTAACCCTTGTTTCTTGTTGAATTAAGATTTTTGCAGTTAAAATGCTAATACAAAAGCTTCATCTTACCTCCATGAACACGATAAAATAACATTGCAGGAGCTTCACAAAATAAAATGGGAAACCCGACAACAAATAACAAAAAACAAGCAGATCTATCCCACGTTTCCACTAAACTGAGTTTTACGGGACAGATCATTGCTTTAAGGTGGTTAACAACATTCTGTCTCCAGGTCATGTGCGTCCCCCACACAAACTCTATCCGACTGTAACAGCTGGCTCGATGTCTCACCCTCTGATATGAAACGCCGTATCCTGTCAGACACTTTACGACGACATCGAGCCGTTTCGGGTCTCCTGGCCTTGGCTAAATCCTGCACCCCCCGCCTCCCGTTTATGGAGGTAGGATGGCAGCGCAGGGAAAAGGGGGCACTTGTCTTTCTGGGTGCAGTGATAGAAATGTAACCAAATACCAAAACTAGAGGAAAAGGGTGGAAGGGGCACACATGCTGAGTGACAGGTGTAGAGGTGGCCTGCTATAGAGCCTCTGATTTAAACTTTAAAGTGAACATTTGTAGTCCGGCTAAAGCTGAAACTTAAATCCGTTTGTTAGTTGCTCACTCTGCTGGCGTCGTAACGAGTCGTTTGGTCTCTGCTGGATTAACAGTGAGGTGCTTGATGACTGTTACAGAAACCTCTGCTTTACTGAAACCACTGAAGGAGAAAATAACGACAATCAGTTACGATCTTAATCTGTTTATTCTGGAGATTTGTTTTGCTCTCATGTCCCACAGGGTGTACCTGATCCCTTAAAGCATCGTGAATTCAGACCCGTAAGTGCTTTTCTTTAAAAGCAAGGAGGCTCATTAACCGTCAAGTAACAGGTATCAAGTACAGACATTAGATTTGTCCAATGTTCACATATTTAGAATCAAACAAATCCTGTGATTTAACAACTTTGCATTTTAACAATGCATGTGGCAACCTGCAGGCATGGAGGCTTGTGGCTCATATGCCTGGGGGGGGGGGGGGGGGGGGGAATTGCACTTTTAGCACATTTGTGAACTCAAACATTTCATCCAAGCAAGCACAGAAAAGAAACAAAAGAAAGTTTGTTAATTTGTCTGTGTTGACTCTAGAAACTTTCTACATGTGGATTATTTCATAAATGAATGCTTTTATTATGCCTCCTGAACTTAAAAGTAACGGAGTTACTACCACATGAACTATGCTTCACAGCTCTAAATATTTTGTTTCATTGATGGATCTGAATCTAAATGTGAAGTTGGTTGTAACGATAAGGGTCTGAAAGAGTAAAAAAAAAAAACATGACACTAGACTCACCAGCTCCAAATGTGCCTGATGAGCCTGATATTTGGTGTGTAAGGCTGCTAAGAGGACATGAAACTGTACAGAATGATTTAACATCAGTCAGGTTTGACGTGGAGAGAAACTGATGAGACCTTCATAAATAAATACAGATTATTTACAGCACACACACGTTTAAAGGACGTTGGTGTTTCCTGTAATTAAGCCACTTGTCCAGCCACACAGATCCTGAAGGACTGCTGTGGGTAACACAAAGGTCTCAGTTAGCCATGATGCTAGTTAACTGGCAGTAAGGGGTTTAAAGGCATCGAGTCCTCTGGCTTTTTGCTGTTCTTCTTGCTGGTGAGCGCCAGCAGCAGCAACATGGGCAGGTGCCACAGGCTGCAGAAGAAGAGCTTACGAGCGCTGCTGCGGTCCCCTTTGTGGTAGAAGTGGAATGCCAGGTAGCTGATGTACAGGTTGATGGGTAAAGAGATGACGGGAAAAATCCAGGTGGTGACGTCCAGCAGAGGCGCCAATGTCGACAGCCCAATCAGACCCAAGCTGTGGCGTAGGGCCACTCGCTTGCACATGGCAGGGTGGGTGACGGACATCATACGGTAGCCACCACGGGAATAGTCTTCCCTCAAGTTCCAGCTAAGAGCGTTGAAGTGGGGGAACTGCCAGCAGTACAGGAAGCCACCCAGCAGTAATGCGCCTAGACAGGAGGAGAGTTAATGACATTTTGAAGTAACGTTAAATATTCAGATAAGAGTTCCAGTAGCTTTTTTAACTTAATCATCATCAGAACAAAAAATATTTTAATTGTAATTCTTTGACAAACTGGAATGAGCAAAAGTCAGTAACAGCACTAAAGTCTTGCTGAAAACCCAAAATGGTGAATCTCCCCCTCTTGCTATTTTTGAGAAATACTAAACAGTTTGGTTCTAAATGTGGTCTTGTTCAGGAAAACTTCCCTCTCTCATCCTCCACTCCTCTATTCCCCTTTTGTGTAATACCTGTAAGCATTTGTTCATTTAGTCGCCATGTTAATTACACTGCTCTAAATAAATAAATAAAGAGAACACATAATGAGGCTCAGTAGTGTGTGTGTGGCCTCCACATGCCTTTATGATCTCTATAACACCTAGGCTTGCTCCTGATGAGGTGGTGGATGGTCTCCTAGGGATCTCCTCCCAGGCTCTGACTATAGCATCCTCCAACTGCTGGACAGTCTGTGGTGCAAGGTAGCATTGGTGGATGGAGCAAAATATGATGTCCCAGATATACTCAGTTAAATTCAGGTCTGAGGAATGGGCAGGCCAGTCCATGGCATCAATGCCTTTGTCCTGACAGAACTGCTGAGACACTCCATCTACATGAGGTTTAGCATTGTCTGGCATTAGGAGCAACCCACCCAGGGCCAACCGCACCAGCATGTGGTCTCACAAGGGGTTAAGGATCTCATCTTGGTACCTAATGGCAGTCAGGCTACCTGTGGCGAGGACATAGAGGGCTGTGCAGCCCCCTTAAAGAAATGTCACCTCAAACCATAACTGACCCACTGCCAAACAAGTAATGCTGAAGGATGTTGCAGGCAGCAGAACGTTCTCCACAACGTCTCAAGACTTCCATCTGTGAAGAGCACAGAGCACCACTGGTGGATTTGTCGATCTTTGTGTTCTCTGGGAAACGTCTTGCATGGTGTTGGGCTGTATGCATAACCTCCACCAGTGGACATTGGGCCCTCATACCATCCTCGTGGAGTCCGTTTCTGACCGTTTGAGCAGACACACGCACATTTGTGGCCTGCTGGAGGTCATTTTGCAGGGTTCTGGCAGTGCTCCTCCTGGCACAAAGGCAGAGGCAGTGGTCGTGGTGATGGGTTGTTGCCCTCCTATGGCCTCCTCCACCTCTCCTGATGAACTGGCCTGTCTCCTGGTAGCTCCTCCATGCTCTGGACACTACGCTGATAGACACAGCAAACCTTCACACCGCAGCTCGCATTGATGTGCCATTCTGGATAAGCTGCACTAGCTGACTCCATCTCATGCTACTACTGGAGTGAAATCACTGGCAGCATTCAAAAGTGACCAAAACAGCCAGGAGGCACAGGAACTGAGAAGTGGTCTGTGGTCACAACCTGCAGAACCACTCCTTTATTGGGGACGTCTTACTAAATGCCTGTAATTTCCACTACTTGTCTACTAAATTTGCACAACAGCATGTGGAATTGATAGCGTTGCTGCTTTATTTCTAGCAGTTTATTTAGTGAGTCATTCAAACATTGCAATGTCATTGGAGAAACTCCTTATCTTATCTGTCACTGTAAACATGTAACATTAAATTGTATGTCTAATGATATGATTTATTTATTTAAACTGAAACTTGTATTTTGTTTGTGTTTTAAATGACTAAATTTGTTTTATTATCAAATCAAGTTTTTTTTCCCACAGATTTTAAGCCGTTATGAAACAAACTCAAGGACTCAGTCAGCTGTCATATCAGCTACTGAACACAATAAACGATCCAAGTGTTGCTCAACTGAGCTGAACATTTTCTTTATTTAACACTGCAGTGAATCGCAGTGGTTTACTGCAACGTGGCTGAAGGAGAGCACTAGATGTAAATAAAGCTTTATGTAGTGTGAGATTAGGTCAGTTTAAAAGCAGCAATAAGGCCGATTCACGCAGGAACTAAAACGAAACAGCTTAAGAGTTGCTAAAGAACTTTCATCTATGTCTTTGACCAAAAAATAACATTAAATGTTTTCTAAAACTGAGAATAAAGCACTACGTCATTCAAAACCAGACCAGTGCTCTGTAGCTGGAATAAAACCAATATGATGAAGAAGGAAGGCTGGAGCACTCAGGCCAATTAATATCTATTTGATTAAAATAAAAATCATTCATGTTTTTACACTCTAAGGTGTCTTTATCAGAGTTGCACATACTATTTGTTTAAAAATGTCAAAGTGAGTAGAAAGCTATCATTCTTCAACAGTGAAGGGCCTTGATGTAAATCTTAGAGAAGTAAATTTTGTTTTTTAAGATAATAGGAAAAATTGCCAGTGGGTCCTAAAAACACTAACACTTTGTTCAAACTGCATGCAAAAGCGCAACAACTTAGATTTTTGTTCCTCACATGCGGCTCGTATGTGATTTCGTTTTGACAGTCTAACAGCACAGATCCCATTCTTTCAAATCCGATCCAGGTCACTTTTATATTAGGTACTGAATCCAATACGAATCTGATGTATTTGAAAGCGACTTCAGTCTGAACGGTCAAAGTATACAAAAAGGAAATAGTGGTTGAACCAATAACGGGGTAAACATTTCTGATTGTAAACAACTACCTCTGCATTGAAATTGCACACACCTGCTGCTATATGTTTTGTATATTATTAGCGATATTTACCTGTTTAATATTATCTTATTGTTAGGGATGTTTTTTGTTTTGTTATTGTTGTGCATCTGCACTTTATGTAAATGTCTACGCATGGGACAGTGTGAAACGTAATTTCAATTCCTTGTATGGCAAGCACATTCGAAGAATTGACAAATAAGGTATTCTATTCTACTCTATTCTATTCTATTCTATTCTACATCACTGACTCAGCAGAGGTGAGCGTTGTGTCTCAATGCCCTTGAGGAGAAGCACTGACAGAACGATTCAGATGTCTGGACATCCTGTCAAGGTTTGGATTTAAAAATACGGGAGAGCACGAAAAGCGATGGAGGCTGCTGGAGCGAAGCAGCCCTCTGGTCTCCGTGAGAGTTATAGTGTGAACAACCATACAAAAAAGAATTGAATGTAATCCAAAAACCAGAATTGAGCAATAAGACTTACAGTGTGAACCTAGCCTAAGGGACACAAGTGGCTTGTAGGTTGCACTTTGTACATCACAGTCTAGACTATTCTAAAAATGCTTATGAGATAAAATAACTTCCAAATGTTTAATTTGATTCAGCCCTAATCGGACTACAGGCCTACATATTTGTGCTACCGTATAGTAGTTAGTTATACTGCATATTTCTGCAGGTGAGTCATACCTGGCCCCAGGCAGCCTGTGGCAGCAGTCCAGCCCATCACTGGGGGAATTGCTCCGACCACTGCTCCCAGCCAGGTGTTGGTGATGCTGAGTCTTTTCAGCGGTGTGTAGCAACAGCTGTACAGAAAGATGTTCAGAGCACCAAGAAAGCCCGTCAAGGGGTTTACCGCCAGTGTGAGCAGTGTAACCCCAGGAACGCCACAGGCCAGGGCGAATGACACTGCATGTAGAGGACTGATAAGGGAAAGAAAAAGAAGACAGAGAAACAGAAAGGATGGATGAGATACATCAGCAAGATAAATATAGACGAGACAAAAGCATGAAAGACTAGTTCAGTAAAAGAGGTTCAGGCTCAGGGGAAAGCTCATCACTGCCGTGGGAACTAAAGGATGATAAAGTTCTGCAGGCTTGTGCAAACACAAGATAAGACAATGATAACAACAAATTCAGCCCCAACACACACACACACACACACACACACACACACACACACACACACACACACGCACATGCATACATACACCAACACACAGATCCACAGGGGCCATAGCTGTAGATGGCGTAATCCCAAAACGGGAGGTTTGGAGGAAACTCATCTGATAAGAGTTTGTCAGGGATAAAAGTAGCCAAGAAAGAAGGGGAGCATGTCCACACATCAGAGATCAAAACTAGCTGATAAAACCACAGCAGCTCAGGCTTTTAGCCGGATGAAGACGATTACTTACTCCTCCTCCCACTTTCCTCATCTTTAACTGAAAGCACTGACGGCAAGGTCTGGTTCAAATTCACCAGGAACTTCTCCAGAAATTAAAGGGCAGAGAGATTGAAATCTTGACCCAATTCAAGCCTTTTCTTCAAAAGCCAAACAAGGCTTTTATTTTGGTGTGGCGGCTGTGCAGTGAGATCAGTGCATTAATGTGATTAGTGGTGTTATGTCTGTTTCTTGTGGGTTGAGGTGGGGCCACGTTGGCTGGCTTTGGCTTGTAGACAATCAGTCTGTGGGTGTGCTCAGTGGGGGTCAGGGAAGGGGGTACGTCACATGGCCTGAAGTGGGTTTACTGTCCAACTTAAAGAACAGAAGCCATCATAAGATCAAGTGGGTGACTGTCTGGTCTGGTTTATAGTAGATTCAAATCTAGAATATCAGAGGGGCAAAGAGGGATTCACTTAAAAATCGCTAATTTGTAGAACTATTGTAAGAAAATCCTGCAAAAAAAACTAAAAACTATTCTACAGAAACAACTTGATACAGCATGGTTTTAGGAGACCAGCCCTAAACAACAGGCAAGTAAAAAATAAGCTAAGTGGAAGTCTTATCAGCATGTTTAGAATCAGAAGAGCTGAACGTCACAATAAAACAGATCAATTATCTTTTGTTCAAATGAACTTTTTCCTCAAACATACAATTTGAAACTGGACCCATTTATTTTAAGCTAAAGACTTGTTTGTTCTGTTATCCAGTGCAACGGTTGTAGATTGAGAGCTCGCTGTTTGTCACAAAAAACAAAGTTTGAGAATTCTATGACATATATTGATGTAAAAGCTAGGTAAAAATGGAAACCTTTAGTGTTTTCATCTTAAAATTACATGTATTGTTTGATGAGCAATGGTTGCGGTCACAAGTTATTTTTATTATGTGGGTCACAGCTACAAAGTCAGGAAATTACTGATTTAGTGCACGGTTATAACTTGACATGAGCACCAAAAAGTCAGATCTATGATCAGGTTTAAAAACTAGATTTGCTATATTTCTTTTCCAGTTATTATTTTTTTACTTATGCAAGTCTAATAACATGGAGAAAGGTGATATTTTTGCAAATATTTTATTATAAGCCCCAAATTTTTCAAAATGTGTAGTTTTTTAAATGTTTTTAATCAGTCCCAGTGCACTATAAAAAAGCTGAACAAAATCAAATCGAATTTGGGTAAATTTAAACAACCAAGCCATTTTAGGGGCTAACAACTTAGCGACGTGACATGTCTCGGAGAAAGCGTAAAAACACGTTGGACGCTTCTTCTGAAGCAGGAAAATAACACATCTTCTTAAGCAGAGCACGATGTCGCCTCGGCTCGTTCACCCTCTGCCGAGCCGGACTGAGCTCGCTAACATTGACCCAGCACAGCCACTGGGTCGTTGGAGCTGCCCCGTGACTGCCTGATGGAAAACCAGCGGGTTTCATCAGACTCGTAAAGTTTCTTGTTTTTGCTGGGGACCCCCTGTATTTTACCGCTCCCTCCTGCAGTCTTCCCCTATTAACATTTACAATGATTCTGTAAATTCCGTGAATCAATAGAAAAAATCTCCGCCTCTGCCAGCTGCAGTAAATGTAGTTTCCAAATAATAAATAAGAGGTGCATTCATCCGTGTATCTCCTGTGATCCGCATTAGTGATATTCTCAACACCAGAACGGTGAAGCAAAGAAACAGATTCCTGAGTTTGTTAGTAATTTTATTTATTAGGCACATCTAACCTGTTCTATTTTTCTCTGAAATGAGATCAAATCAGTGCTTCTATGGGTTGTCTCCACTCTGCACTAGAAAATTTTACTTTGTTTAGAGACGTGTCATAATCCCCCCCCCCCCCCCCAAGCCGGCCCCACCGCCACAGCTGGAAAAATTCCTAGGGGAAACACTGATAACTAACCTTTGATTATCACCACTTACTGAAACCTTATTGTTGAGAAGATCACAACAAAACTGAGCACTAAGTGTAGCGGTACAAATGGACAAAGACAGGATGGTCTCCTAGTTCAGCCAAACATGATTTGGTTTAACTTGGAAAGAAGAGTGTGTGTAAAACGTGTCTCCCTGATGGCTTGTTTGACAGAAAGTTAACCGTCCCATGTGCTCTCTGTCTTCTCACACGATTGTATGTGACAGAAGAGAGGGAAGATGGAAGGAAACAAAGACTTAACAACCAGAGCATGTCAATGTGCTCCAGAGACAGAAACACGGCTCCTCTTTTCAGGTTAAAAGCCAGAGAGAAAAGTTTTGTTTACACAGCCAAAATGTTGTTCATGAGCACAAATGTCCACTTTAAACAAAACGTCAATCAGGGATTTTTGTAACTGACAGAAAGCTGAGTTAAGTTCTTGTTGTGAAACTAAAAGGCTGTTTAGTAATGAAGTGACCAAATTTGCCTGCTTTACAAAGACCTCTAAAGTCAACACAATGTTTGCTTTAGTTCTTCATGAGTCAAAGAGAGGTTTAGGGATTTTTCCCTGTAAACACTGAATGTGAGAGATGTCGTTTTTGACAGTGACGCTGTGTGAAGATCACATGTGGTTGGTTATTGCTGCTTTAGCTTCATGCATCAGTGGGCCTGTGTGGGTCTGGCTTTACACCGACAGCTTCGCTATAAAGGGGCAGGTAGAGACAAGGTTTAAAGCAGCAGGAAGGAGAACTGTACCTGATCTGTCCTCTGACGAGCGGACGGTTCTTTGTACGGTTCATGTTGGAGTCAAAGGGGACCTCAAAGTACTGGGGAGACAGAACAAGAACCGAGTCAATGCAGGAGACACTCACACGGAGGATTCCTACGCAATTTAAAATTGTTTTCCATCATTTAAAAAAAAGAACTTATTTGTACCAATGAGATCTCACCATATGTAATGCAACATTAATGGAATATTTGTGTTCTTTTCCATACTTCAATTAAGAAGAAACAAAAAAAAAAAACAACTAAAAAGAGTATTAAGCATTAGCGGTCAACCAGTCTGGAACATTAAAATCCAACTTTGTCTCTGGTCTGTGAATGCACCAGTGCTAAGCACCAGTGTTTAACAGAAATAAAGATCATCCACATGGAAGTTTTAGTTTGCAGAATCATAACGTTCATGTTAATGGGGAAATCAAAAAGAAAATGCATCGTATTTTATTGTCAGAAGCAAAAATATGAATCAGCTAACAGTGATCTGAATTAAAAGGTCTTTATTGTTCCATTAATAAATTCATTATGTACAGCATATAAGGGTGCCCAATCCTGGTCCTGGAGGGCCGGTATCCAACATGTTTTTGTTGTTTCTCTGCTCCAACACACTTGATTCAGTGGTTGATTCACATGTTCAGCCGCTCATCTGGCTCTGCAGAAGCCTGATAATCACCTGCTGATTAAAGTCTGGTGTGTTGAATCAGAGAAATATCTAAAAGACACAAGATACCAGCCCTCCAGGACCAGGATCGAGAGCCACTGGGGGTCTTGTTTTGCTGGGGAAACCTTTAACTGATTGATCACTGTTTGTTTTAGGCATTTTTACTTAATTTTCTGTTTTAGTTTGTTCTTACTTTATCTTTGCTTGTATTGCTTGTTTGTACTCCACCTGCTCATAGCTGATGCTGTTGCGTTTATTCTGGGGTGCTGTTTTTTATCTTTTATGCTGTGCAGTGCTTTGTTTAAAGGCGCTACATAAATAAAGGTATTATTATTTGTTCATTATGACTAAAGGGCCAGGGACTGAACAGGAACAGGTTAGCTGCTCCTGTGTGCTCTTAAGGTTATGCCCCCGATCCACTCTAAAATAATGTCAATCATTCACATAAAGTACATTTGTACTTCATTATCTGAAAGTATCTAATAAGTTGAAAAAACAAAACGTGTTGTTTATGTTGAGTTTTAAAACAGAAATGTCACTATTTTTCTTTTTTACAATATTGATGTATCGTAATACAGGGAAAGCAACTTGTGAATACAGTGCATGTTAATATAGTAAGCATAACATTTTTAACCTAGTAAGCACATTCACACATAGAATGTATATATATATATATATGAATAAATGGTATGGCGGTAGCTCTTCTGTACTTTCGTTGAGTAAAATTAGCTCACAGCCTGCAGAACGTTGGAGACCCCTGCTCCATTTTAACCTTTGTAAAAGTAAAAATCTGAGTTTTTGTGGACTAAAACTGATTAAAACTAAAAAGAATTTTCATCCAAAAGGCAAAACTAAAATAAAAATGGCTTCTACAAAAACACTGGTATAGGAGCACAAAAATACCACACACATTTAGATGAATACAAACTCGGACACAAATGATTAAGGAGTTCACAAAGTACATTCACTGCTGAGGCAGGCAGCTGCATATATTCATTGGTTTTATTCTTATACAACACCACAGATTAGCTCTGTGGTTTAGCCCATACTGACATTCTTAAAGCTGTATGGGAGGTTTAAAAATGTCTTTAATAACTTCTCAGAAATGTTGACACATATTTTAAAGTTGCACATAAAAATATGCAAAAAAGCCACAACATCCTATTCTGTACTTTTCCCTGCCTGCTCTGCATCAAATGTTAGTCATCTGCATAAAACTAAAACCAATCTCTGAGCTGAACGATCAACCTGCTATCTGAGAGTAAACTAGGTGGAGCTGCAAGGTGGAGGCTGGGAGTCGCTGGTGAAGGTTCGAGTGTTCTGGGACACAACTATGTGAAAAACTACTTTTAACCTTGTTTTATGATCTGCTCTGGAGGAGTATGCTTCAAAGTGCTCCCATGAGAGAGGCAATGTGTGACTAAAACACAAACACATGGGGGTGCTTAAACTCAGGAACCGGATAATCTTTGGATGTGTGTAAATGCACTAATGAAGAAAACAGATAAAGCACTTACACCAGAGATGCATTTCATTTGGATGTGGTGCACATAAATCATAAATGTTATTGATTGGGGGAAAACCCTGGTGGAACGTAGTGGAGCTGACAGGTTTTAAACAACTGTAACAATAAGCTGTGTAGTCAACATTTTTAAAGTTTGGATCTGAGGAAGTGTCTTGGACAGTTTGTAGCAAACAGAAAAAAAGCTAAGGGGCTGTCTTGAGGATAATGTTGTGTAATCACATGGAAAACTCAGATATTCTCTGTTGTCAGGAAGTCTTACATTTGTGAAGAAAAAGGATAAATACCTCTTTCTGAAAACATTTTTAGTGTTTGACATGGAATAAGTTTGCAAAAAAAGAAAAACACATGAAAAAATTCCAAGATTAAAATTTTCCATTTACTGGAAGACAAACAAATCAAAAATCAAATTAAATAATTTAAATTTTGTTTAAGATGACTGTTAACCTTTACTTAAAAAAATGGGGACAAATCCTTTAATATAAAGCCTTAACATTTCCATGAGGAGTATCTGTAATCGAAAAGGTGTAATTAGTACATTTATGCAACTACCTCCACCCCTCTCAAAAAGCCTCAGTGATGTTAAAATAATACAGACTCCTATGTTGTTTCATTAATCCAAAATTTAAATGAGAAGCAACAGATTATTACCCAACACTCAATTCAAAGATCAAACCAATTTTTTAATCCCATATAACTCGTTTCTCCAGGGTTAAAATACAAAAATCCAACATTTATCCAAATCTGAGCTGCTGTTATGTAGTTTAATTAGTTTTATTATCAAAGTACCTCACCAGAATTTAAGTATTTAGCTGTTCTTATGTAACTGTAGAGTTTCTGATTGATGTAATATATTAAATCTGAACCAGTTAAAGGAACAGAGCCATTCATGGCCACACAAACAAGAGTAATCCTTTTGTATCTGGGTCTAATTATTAAAATGATCCAGCAGTAAGACCCTCACTGCACTCTTTAACTTCAGTTTCTTATTACCTTTGCACGCAGCTTCAGCTGCAGTACTGTCATAGTCTATTGGGTCTGGACAGGACTGAGGCACAGCTGTGTATGTGGCTCTCGGACCCTAAAGCCCAAACAGAGGTGTTAATTCTATTTCCTGGGTCAGGAAATGCGTCAAGAGGTCAGGGGCCACATAAGAAAGAAATGCACTCTGCGGCAGCCGGGTGAACACAGAGCAGAGCTGAGCTGAGCCAGGCCTCAAACAGGCCCCGGGCCAAGCGCCGCAGCTCTGCTCGCATAAAACGGACCCACTTTGTTTCCAATAACATAACTCCTCATAGAAAACAGAAAGAAATGTGTTCTTCAAAGAACTACGAACACACCTGCTCCAGAGGAACACGTTTTGTTGTCTTAGTAAAAATTATTGCAAGTGAATGTCAGTCCCTCTGAGCAGACAGCAGTGCTCAGCGCGCCGTTGCTCTCCACTGGTTTGAGTTCCTCATCTGGTTCACATCAGAGTTTCTCTAACCCATGTCGCTATTTCCGCCCAATGCTGCCATGTGTTACAGTGATGGCAATAAAATAATTGGGCCACTTGTGTTTTGTGTGCTTCTACGGGTGGGTCTAGAACTTGTAATGTCTCAGAGTCAACAGCATTTTAGCTGCTTGAGCCAAGATAAGTTGACTGTGTAATTAACAACTGGAGGTCAAAGAGTATCGATGAGGCATTCAGTGACGCTCGGGCTCAACAAGACTGGCTAAGGCAAGGCGAGGCAGCTTTTTTTTTTTTTACATGGCACATTTTATACTTGGAGGTAATTAAATGTGCTTTTCAGATAAAAACGCAAAAACATAAAAGCATACAATTTTAAATCAAATTTAAAATACAACAATAAGATTAGATTCAGAGAAACAAGTTAAGACTGAGCAGTTACAGAGAAGAAGGTGCAGCATATGAAACAACCACTCAAACAGATGAATAAATCAAGTTTTCAATTTAAAGGTTGCTAGAGTTGGGGTAGGTCATGCTGAGGTCACGGAGAAACCCGATTCCATTCACGTGTGGTCACTAGGAAGGATAAGCAGTTTTCTCACTAACAATACATCAGACAGAAACTTTGTTCTAGCTATATTATAGTTCTTATGACATAAGGCCCTTTGCATAGGAGTTATAACTCTGTGTGTCCGTGTAAAGTTTGAATTTATTCATTTTAATGTGGTAGGAGTTGGGATCCTGGCAGTACTGTTTTTGGAAGGCATCTTAGTTTTAGTCTGTCTTTATGTCGAAAACGTATTTTAGTCTAAGTCAGCTTTAGTTGACTAAAACTCGAGTGTTTTAGTTGACATAGATTTTTGTTTTGTGTTTTACAAAAAAATAAAAGAGTTAGTCTGAAACAAATTAATTAATAAGTAAGACACGTACTCTGAGCTAGTGGTGCTTTGCAACACTCCCCAGGTGACGTTGAAGTCTGAAGGGAACATGTCCATCAATGCGTGTGTGAAGTATAAATCAGACTTTAGTCACCAATCAGAAACGTTGTTTAAATGGTGGACAACCCTATCCAAAATCCTCACTTTTCTTGCGCCGATTCACAAAATTTTAAAGGACTAGGCAGAAAGAAAATTGTCTTGCAAAAATGCCAACCATGTCCAGAACTCCATCGACACAAGTGTGTTTCCTAACCCACATGAGGACATTGACCGCACTAGCAAATGACTTTAGACATTTTGTAAATTTCCCTACGAATGTCCATTGAGACACAGAGACTCACTTCATCCTCAGAAAAGATAAATGTCTATTATTATTAAAATAATAATAATAATAATAAAATCAGACTTTAGTTTTAACCTGATGTGAATCTGCTTCCTTCCTAATTGTGATGTTGACTAGTGCTTATTTTTAAAATGAG